ATCCTCGCATCGTCCAGTCGCCGGGGTTCTATCACCCCGTACCCGGTAATTGCCAGGACCCGCCACCGGCACCGCCTCTACCCGCGAGGCCTACGCCTAGTCATAAAAATCGAGACGGTCACCGGACAGTTCCGATCCACGCGGCATACGATCTGGCAGCAAAGTCAAAAATAAAGATACGATAGGAGCGTAGCCGGACGAGTTGTTAATTTTTTTTCTCGTCGTTCTCTTTCCTCCGTCCTCCTTTTATTCTGGTAACCATGATTACCGTCCTTGCCGCTCGGGGCGAGAATCACGCCGAGCCGTCGTCGGACGAGCCCACGCCGCGTCCGAGGAGTATTCGCACTCGCGCCCCGGACGTGACAGTTGTATTTCATTGCAAATATAAAAGACTCTTGAATAGAAAGATAAAGGTACGTATCATTTTGTCTCGTTAATTAAATGTTGTATGTTGCAATAAAATATATGTTCTTTTCGCAATTTACAAAATACAATAGCATATGTTATATATTGCAAGAAATTATATATTCGTTTTGCAATTGGCGTAATTTAAAGATTTAATTCCATTTCTTTTTTACATGCATACGTACTACTGAGGGGTAATTTATAATAAAAAATTAACAACATTACCACTTGAACTATATTATTTATGTAACGGTTTTTTTTTAGTTTATATTTTAGTTTATGTAAAGTACAGTTTTTTATGGAAGATACATGCACACTTGACGCCTTTTTTTTACCTTTTTTTAAAAAGATAATTTTGTTAAAATATCACGCATTTTGTAGTGTTAAACATCTTATATTCTTATATGATTAATACTATATCTCTTCACACGTGTGCGTATTACTAGAATTTATTATCAACATTTTCTAAAAATAATGTAGAAATGTTTTTAGCAGCTTTAGGCCATTACTTTTTTGTAACTTGCGTATCATCAGCTTCAATCCAAGGTGAACCTTCTCTATACATACTTATAAAATGATAGTTTTCGATACATGGACCATAGTGAAATATAGCATTCATAACTTTATATGGCTGTCCAGCTATTAGTATTGCACTTGTTGGAAGAGCACATACATTAATTTTTTTTGGCACCTTCACTAATGTTCCATTTTGGTATGAAAATTAAATGGATGATTATCTGTTTCGTCTCTCAATGTTATTTCATTTTTAAATAATATATCATTTCCCTCACAACGTTCACATAATTTATTATTTTATTATATTTAGACCAATGTGAAAATCAAGTATTTAGTAAATTGTTAAGATTAAAACTTTCCTTGTTCGAATTGTTAACAAAAATTGAGAAAATAAAATTATTATTAGTAGTAACTTTTGTATCACCACATGTTATGCATCGACAAGTAGAAATAATTTGATGCTCAACCAAATTTTCTATAAAATAATATTTAGTACAAAGAGCTACAACAAAATCAAATGCATCTCGTTTAATACCAGTCAAAAAATACTCCCCTAGATATTTTCGTACTGCGCAGGTACTCAAATTAAGTACATATTCCGTTTTCATATCGATGCGCTAATATATTCAAAACATTTAGTTTATCAGAATAAAATAATTTTCTAATAATTAAATGAAATAAACATTGTAATGTAGCATTGGCATAGCATGAAACTTTGTCAGTATTTTGAAAACCACGTATAACCCAAGAAGTAATACTTTGTCGAACTTTTTGATCTGACTGTTGAACGGAAGTTATTATTTTCGGTAATGTCCATGGCACATTTTTAATTTTACGATAATTCTTTTGAAATAGTAATAATAATTTGTGCTTCTGGTTTATGTAGTCGTTTAGTCGATTATATTCAATAATTGCTTCTTCACTAGTTATAATAGATAAAGAATCATGATTAATCAAATACGCGTTAAGGTTCACTTTTGTCGCAAATTTTACTTTAATTTTATATATAAAATTAGAATTCTATGAAGGCATTGTGAATAGCAGCTTAATGGACAAAACGCTTTATGTATGTTACACGTACGACTGAAAAAATTTGAAAAGCTGAAATGGTCCCATTTTGGGAAATAATCTCCAGATCTCGGTATCGGCTGCACCAATTTTATTCGGTCTGATCGCAATCGAAAGATACCGACGACATATAATAAAAGTGTTTTTAGATCTTTAATTGCGGCTTTGGTTTCTGAGTAATTTTAATCTAAAGCATATAAATATTTAAAACAGGCCGCTTGACCGCTTAACGTGTGAACGTCATTGCGTATATATTCATGCCGTTACCAAATTCGCGAGGCTATAAACGGCATGAATATACATATACGTAATCTTGTTCACACATCAAGCGGCCTGTTTTATATTTTTATATACTTTTAATTTAAAAGTAACTTATTAAAGTATTAAAGTAACTATACAGTGAAATGTCGACACATAATACAGTGCTAATGAAACTATAGATAAATAAGTCGGTAAATGACAGCAATAAACGAGTGCCATCAACCGTCGAAAATATGAAAAGGAGATGACTTTTTGAGGCGACGTATCTTACATAAAATTTTGACATTTCGGATTTCGCATCACGATATCTCCGTTCGTGGAAAACTTAGAGGTAAAATAAACGTTTATTATATATTTCGGACCCAAACTTTCGATGGAGCTCATATTCAGAACTCGATCGGTCTAGAATTTATTTAAAAAACCGAGAATTTCCGATGCTCGAATGCCCGCAACTCGCTGACTCGCGTAAAGACACGCGTGTATCGCGCTGCGCGCCCACTTGGCGCGAGACACTACCGTGTCTCTTGATCCGACTAACAAAAAAATTGAACGAATGAATCAGCAGAAAATCACTGTGACGTATGTACATAAAGTGCGTGAAATCATAGTCAAGAGTGAGTGTTAATATTGTGCTGATAAAGTGCAGGAACTTCTCATGTTGTGTTATACATGCGTAAAACGAATTTCCTGATTTCTAGACAGCTCATAATACATTTTCGTAATAGTTATCTTCGTAATAATTATCGATTTCAGAAAAAGTAAGTGGATTTATTGCAGAGATACGTTTAATTGGTAAATTCGTAGAAATTGTATTATACATTATATTCTAATAATTAATAATTTTTCATGAACGTTTATTTTACCTCTACGTGGGACACGTAAAGGTAAAATAAACGTTTATTATATAATTCGGATACCCAAACTGTCGATAGAGCCCATATTCAAACTCGATCGGTCTAGCCTTTATTTAAAAAAAACTGATTCGAATGCTCGGATGCCCGCAACTCGCTGACTCGCGGTAAGACACGCGTGTCTCGTGCTGCGCGCCCACTTGGCGCGAGACACTACCGTGTCTCTTGATCGTATGCTCATTTTTCGCGCACGCTGGCTGTGCTTGTTTGTATTTTAGAAACATTAAATAAAGTTTTCTAATTATACAATACTGATATACTTTGCGTTTTACTATCGATTTCTCGGGGCATCTCATATTAGGAGCACAATTTTTTGACTTTGCGATTTGTTCACTTTTTACATTTCTTTAATTTTCAAAAAAAATGGAATTTGAATTAAATTTTATGTAACGTTATTTTAAAGCTTATTAAATTCCCTTCAAAATGACCTATTATTTTTTTTAATTCTTCCCATAGACTTCTAGCATTTACCCAAAATGAACTCGGTATCTCATAATAGGGGTCTTTCCTCTATATAAACGTATATGTACTTATGGATTCTATTTGAAAAAATCAATTTATAATGAAAAATCATTTGTTTATACAATAGAGATTAAGGCTGCGGTTCATTTGCTTTTTTCAAATGTTCTGAACGTTACGCTCCACGCTATACGCTCCGATTGTCCATTTCTGAATGCTACAATTGCTACATGAACGCTCCAATCAACCCACCTCTCCAAAAAGAGGCAATTGGAGCGAAGCGGGAGCAAAAACGATGACGTATTAATCAGAATTGTTGGGAGCGTTCCGAAGCTCAATGGACCAGTCATATTAGTGCTACAAACGCTCTGTAGCGTTTGAAGCGCTAAGTGGACCGCAGCCTAAATCGCATAAAAAAGAAAATAATATATATTTTTTGTGGTGACATTTTATATAGTGGAAATAGTGAGATATATGATACATATTTCTAGATTTACGATTATTACCACCGCGTTTCTTTATAAAATATCTTCTTTACATTTATACAAATATTAAAAAACTGAAATGCAATATTTAATACCTAAAATATAGCAAGATAATTTTAAAATAAATTCATTTATATTTATATAAAAATAGTTATAATTGAAACAGTATTCATTACGAAATTATGAAATTATATGATACGTTTACATGTTTATATTATTTTCTTAGCCTGATAAATATACCCAAATGTAAATTAATTACTATATCCATATAAAAATTCTTAAGTTTATTTACTTTTTTCTTTGTTTATTATGTATAGTTTTATACATACAAAGTAAATAGACGAGTTTAGATAAAAATTTAAATATATACATATATATATGTATATATAAACAGTAAAATGTTTGTCTCTGCATGATAAAATGATTAATAAAGTTGCAAAATATAAATATCTGTAAGATAAAAAAAATAGAAATAAATAAACAAAATTTTGTCCTTATATATCATTTTAAACGCAACGTCATGTAATATAGAAATAAAATATAAATAAAGTATATGAAAGTCATATGTTTCCTAAACATTATGCGCATATTTTTCATTAATATCAAAGCCTAACGAAAACAATTTTTGAGCTTTTAATTAAATTAAAAATAATATGTATAAAATCTAAATGCTCAATGTGTTATAAAATAAAATAACATCTTTTTTCATATTTTAAAATAATAGAACAATATTTCAATATTTCTCAGTACTCTCTCTCTCTCTCCCTCTCTCTCCCTCCCCCTCTCTCTTTATACTTTGAAATAATTAATATTAGTTGATATTATTAATAATTAAGGAATTGATCTATTGTTTGATCTCATAATGTATTAGTATCCGAAAGTCAGAAGTATGATATTAATTACAATGTTCGGTCTTCAAATAATTTATAACGCTTTTGCTTTGCAATTTATATATTCTACCTTTACTACCTGGCATTAATATAGGTGGATCAAATCGTTTTAAAACATTTCTGACTAATGCCTTTATGTTCGTAATAGCTTTATTATTATTATAGTTCTGCAAATCCACGCTATAAAACTGTTCATTAATCGATTTTATCTGGAAATTAATAATATAAGATATGTGATTAAAATATAATATAAATAATTACAAAATAGAAAAAATATTATTGCTAGTAAATACTGATAATAAGCCAGATGTGTCCAAAATATTCTAAATAAATATTGTAATTTATAACAATCTCGTTTATAAAAATGTGCTTACCTCCAGGATAAGATATACTTTGATTTGATAAGGTTTAGCAAATTCAATCGCATGTCCAACATTTATTATAAGATGTTTTAACAGTTGCAAAAATGTAAGATATATTTCTTCTTCTGTTAAATCAGTATTTATAATGACGTGTGTTACTGGCCACAACTATATTGTGTGAATATATAATATATATATATATATATTTTTTTTTAATAATTTAAGAATTACTTAAAAATAAAAATTGCCATAAGAGAAAGGCTACGAATCAAAGCTACTTGTTAAAAAGTTCTAATGATTAATCTATCTTTAATACCTAATCGATATAAAACATTAGATATACATACATTTTAACTTTCATCAGATCATCCTCAGTTTAAAACATAGTAATTAAATTAATTGAAAATAAAAATAAACGTAAAAGGATCGCAATATCGATTATACATACTAGGTAATTATTTAAATATAAAATATTTATATTATTAAATTAAAAGTATTTGTAATTTTTTTTATGGAAAGATTAAGAATATATTGTACGACTCGTAACCTTTCTCTTCTAGAAATTATTTTCAAAAAATTTTTGAGTCAGAATATTTTAATTATTTTTTTAAGAATTACTAATGTTAAGAAAGAATATACAAAAATATTAAATACATAAGAAAATTATTTTTCATAAATTGATTAGTTTCTCTTTTTACTGTATTAATTTGTAAATAAAGTTGATTATGTATTTACCTTCACTGCTGGATAGATACCTATTCCTTCTGCATAATTATACATTTGTCTCGCTAGATTTTCGTTCATATGAATTAATGTTGAAACTAGTGCGCGACACGTTGTGGTACTTAATGCAAAAGTATATTTTAGTACTAAGTTGGCCATTTCTGTGATTAAATTCGAATCTTTTTTTGACAAAGATAACATCATTAACTTGTCCACGTAACGAGATAAATCTAAAAACGATAAAGATAAATTTTGTTAAATATTATTTAGAGTACAATGTAGTTTAGAATTTTTATACATGTTATTAAGAATGCAATACAATTAAAATTAATTTATAATATAATAATCACAGATATAAATATAATAATCACAGGATTATGACTGCAAAATTTTACTTTACCTATTGGATAATACTGACTGCTTTGATCTTTAAGTAAAAATTGAAAAAGAAAGAAAGCATACTCAACAAATTCATTACAAAATGAATCCAATAATATGTACATTATTTTAGTCCGTACATGCTCATCATTAACGGTACTTTTAACAAACCACTTATCACGACTAGTACGTAAAATATTTTTGTCTGAAAAATTAATACAAATAAATAATATATTAATACGATAAATGACAATAAAAGAAAAAAAAGATAATTTGAAATTTATTTCATGTCGATTTTTTATAATTGATAATGAATTAATGTTTGTTAGACATAAATTGTGTTTACTGTTAAAGAATTTTATATTCAAAATATTTATTAATGTTTTTATACTCATTATCAATATTTTTTATAACATACGTTACTATTTATATACGTTAAAATTTAAACAAAATTGATCTCTGTAAAATAAACTCACATTTAAGTAAATCGTATGCTTTTACTGCCTTTTTGTTAGCCAAGTAAATCTCGGCCGATAGCAAGAAATATTCGGCATTACATTGTAAATCGTGTATATTAAGTGTTTGGATCAAACCTAATGCAAGCCCCCAGGCTTCGTTGTCCATTGAATTGATCAAAATGTTTAATCCTATGTCAAATAAGATTTTACCTAGAATATCGAAGGTACCCATTTGGACTGAAAAGTCCAAATGTGTGAATTAGGTAAGATTATAAATAAAATTTGTAGTCTAAAGTTTATTGATATTTTATTTATTTTATTATATTACATGTGATACATAAAATATATGCAATACATACATCGTACGTTATTCAATTAATAAAGAATATTCTTTTATAATTTATGAATTAAATGAAAAAATATTGTAGAATATCATTAAGTAAAAAAATATGTAGAAAGTTTTAGTTGTTATAAAATTATATCTTTCGTCATATATAACTCTTGATGCTTAAAATCTACAATATATATTACGTGCAATATATATATTACGTATAATTCATATATAAGTTGTATTTTGCTGTATATACATAGCAATAACAGTTCGTAGATATAGAAGTCTTCATATTAGTGATGAGCGGTATTTTCGTAACTGTTACTTTGTAACTGTTATCGAAAGGTAACGTTGTAATCATATTGTGACTACTTCATCATCAATATCAAATATGAATAATAAAGGAAAACGATGTCAATAAAACAAGAAAGAGAGAGATTGTACATATGATATATATTATAATACAACCTATATTTCCCATCTAACACCTTTTAAGTATTTTATTTGTTATTAAAATATTTATTACCTGTGCGACGTATGATGTTTCTTAAGTGATATTCTGAACGTTTTACCTCTGTACGAAGTATATTACAACAAGAGCGAACAAATAACGGACTTTCATCTTGCTTTTCTGTGTAATTTTTTAAAATATTAATAACGTAATCATAATCATGGTGTAAAAGTCCCTTTTTAAATCGATCTAAATCCACATAAAATTTCCAGAGATGTTCATGATCTCTATAAACGGATCGTGCATCGGGTAAATCATCTACAAAAAAGTATATATATATATATATATATATATACACACGTACACACAGATGTGTTTTAGATTTTATAAAAAATGTTCACTACCGTCGAAAAGTTTCCGAACATGAAACTTAAAATTGCATAATATTCAGGTAACTTAGTTAAAAAAATCATCACAGACAAAAAATAAAAAAGTATTTTAAAACTTGGAACTTTACTTTAGCATGCTTTTGACCGCTTTTCAAACAAATTGTTTTTACAGTTCTGTATCTTATCAAATATCACATTGTTGTATTTCTTAAAATTATGTACATTTAACAGTGCAGAGTTTGATGAAGTTTTTTTCAAAAAGTTCAATATTTTTGAAAAACAATACAAAGATTTACCTCCAAAATGCTTTTAAAAAAATTTTTTATTTTTCTTGACTAAATTACGCAACATTGGATCATTCGGTATTACGACCGCTCACTGAGCGCTCAGTGAGCGGTTGTAGTAATAGGTGCATCCAGAAGCACGACCGCTCATTGAGCTCTTGTATCTGTTTGGTCTATATTTTTCGATCTAATGGAATATGCCAATCAGATGCAAGAGCTCACCGAGCGCTCAGTAAGCGGTCGTGCTTCTGGATGCACCCATTAAATGCACTCATTGAAGCCAAACCTGCATTGCTAAATAACCAACGGTAAAATTTGATTAAAAAATCACAAAAATTTTTTACCTTCTCACAATTCTGTAGAATTATATTTAAAAACGATTAAAAGCTTGTTAAAGTACAAACTTCGGAAAAAAAAAAAAAACTTTATTAGACTGCGCACTCTTAAATGTACGTAATCTTAAGAAATACAACGTAACATTTGTTAAAATACAGAACTGTAAAGACAAAATTTTTTTTAAAAGCGGTTAAAAACATGCTAAAAATATAAGTTTCAAGCTTTAAAATGTTTTTTATTTTTTTGTCTGCGATGATTTTTTACCGAGTTATGATGACCTGAATATTATATAATTTTAAGTTCCATGTCTGGAAACTTTTCGATGGACATGTATGTACACATATGCATATATATATATATATATATATATATATGCGCGCATGCAAATATACAACGCACAATTATTCTCTTTTTTTTCACACAGCTAACAATAAAATAAATAATTACCGATAGGTTGCATGAGATAATTTTGTCCATTTATTTCGATATTTACATGGTCCTTACTTTTATTTATAACAGTATTATCACGTCTTAGAGATTCTTGTGATAAGCTCATACTTCCATCGGGAGAAGCAATAGTTTCTGATAAGCTTTCTCCGAAATTCTGAACCGTAGAATGAGAATTATTTGCAGTCAATATACTGCAGTCAATTTTCTCAGTCAATATACTTTTAAAGCGTTCTAATATGTTTTTATCCAACATTGATATTAACTTAGGAGGAACTTTACTTATTAAATTCCTGTTAATATCTCGAACATCAAATAATTTTTCATTCTCTATGCAATCATATAATATTTTTTCGATAATACGTTTATCCGGTGGCAATCTCAAGACTAAAGTTCTTACAGTATTCCAATATTCACCACGTTTAATATATTTTTCAATACATTCTAATATGTTCATAAGATTATTTGAATCTTTAATGGGTATATATTCTACCAAATGATTCACGATTGCTTTTAACGATAGTTGTCGGTTTAACAGTTCCTTAATAATATTCTGAATAATATATCTCTTTGATGAAAGTGTCATTTCTTCTTTTACACGACTATCATGAAATATTTTGTAAATTGTTAAGATCTGATCAACAGTTAATTTTTGTATTGATATTATATATATTGTTCTGCAAAAAAAATTATAGCCAAGATAAAATGCATTTTGCACTATATTTAGCATCGCTGTCGGGTCTTCTGAACAAATTGTACTAAGGAGATTCTGCAACTAGAAATGTAATTTTATATCAAGTTATATACAAATGATTATGTATAAGTTAAAGAAAGCAAAATAATGAATAAATATTACCTCATGCTTGAATTTACACAGCTGTTGCTTGTAACAGGTACCTTTCCTCAATGTCGAAAAACAGTATCCATTGAGGAAGTTCTTAAGATTAATTTTTGCTATCCCTTGGCATTTTGATACTTTCACGTTTTTAGTTTCAAGTGCTGTTACTTTTGATGTAGTTCTAGTTTCAGATATACAATCTGTATGTGTAATCTGTGCGGGTTGATTACTGAATTCATTTTTATCAGTTTTATTAGTTTTATTCGATGTTTCTATATTGTCTTCTACACATTTAGCATACTCCTTATTAAATTCTGTTGCATTTTGTTTCATATATTTATTGAAACTGCTAGCAGTCATTATATATGGTAGATCAGAATGTAGAGATTTACTTAATTTATCTTGTTCACATAAAACTGTATTTTCACAGCTAGAAGAACAATCAATTTTTTAATTATTGCAAACATCATAATTTGTAGAATACATTGATTTGTTACATTAAAAATTGCAAATATATCCATCTAAATTATAAATATTTTATAGATGTTTAAAAATTTCTTTAATATTATAAAATTAAATTTCGTCAGATTTTTCTAATTGATACTTACAAATTTGTATCAAATGATTCTGCAAATAGAGAAATGCAATCATCATCTTCATTTCTGCTATTCATATGTTCCTCTTGTATATTAGCATTTTCATGAATACTTCTACCTATTTGATTTAAATGTTGCGTTTTTTCTGATGCACTTTGTAACATGCTATGCATACGATTGTTGCAAATTGAATCTGTTTGGGTATCTATTTCTTTACACAAAGTTTTATTAAAAGTAGGTTCTTCTTCGAAAGAAAGTCTTTTGTAAAATTTCTTATCTTTCATTGTATTTGTTGGAGTAATTATGTCATTTTTATTATTTAAGTCTATTTGCTCAGACTCTGTACTAGTTTTATTATTAAACTTATTTTCGAATAGTTTGGGAGATTTTGATCGTTTTTTATTTAAATGTTCACGTAAGTCTATTTTTTGTACAGGAATATTTTCTTCGGATATATTTGATTCTGCTGCTGTATTGATATTTGGAAAGTCAAATTCTTGAGGATTTAATAATTTAATATGTGTTACATTATTTTGCAGCCAAAGGGTTCTATTTAATTTTTTTTTTTTATTGTCCAACTTTATAGTATTTTCCTCTGCTGCAATACGCTTTCGATTCTGTTTTATAGCTTCCTTTTTGTTGACCAATACTAATGATCTAGTGGCATTACAGTTTTCACTTACATCCACAAGATTTGAAGTGTTTAAAATGTTTTCATCAGAACTTATTTTCTTACATTTTTTATCACTTTGTAAAATATTCTCATACTTTTCTCTATTATTTAATTTATTCAATTGTTTTTGGCGATTCCAAATGAAGTTTTCATATTTTTCTGTTGTTACACTGTCAGTATCATTAATATTATTATGTACGTTATTTTTTATTTCCAAAGAATCTACGTTCTTATTAACTATTGTACTACGATGTTCATTGTTATCTATACTTTTATTTTTTAAATTAATATTATTGTTAAATACCGACGTAGATTCTGATACTTTTAATATATCAATTGATTTCTCTATTTCAGGCATATGATAGTCTTTCTCTGTAAGAATATTTGTGGATTTAAACGTATCATTAATGCAAGAAACTTGCTTTGTACTGTTATTAGTATCATTAGAAACATTACTCTGTAAACTTTCATCACTCGTGTTTCCTCTCACAAATTTTATCGTACCTTTTGGTAAGATACGATTTCCTGTTATTTTTGGTAAGTTTTTTTTTATTATTCTTTTATTATTTGTCTTATATACATATTGTTTTTTATGTGTTGTAAGAAAATCAGGTATTTCAGTAATATCAGATATTTTAGTAACAGTAATTGGTGTCACATTTAAAGAGAATGATTTTGGAACACTTGTTGCTTGTATACTATCAACACCTAAAGTTGTAATTTTATTGCTTGATCTTTTTACATCTTTCTGATCTTGTGTTCTATTTATTGTATTATACAAAGTAAAAAGATTATTAGAAAAATTTGCATTTTTAGATTTAAAGTTTGTCTTATCTTCAGATGTTCCTAGAATTTTATTTTCTATGTCTGTGTTAATTATACTTGAGAATATAGCTAAAGAGGTCAAATATTACTTAAAGGCTTTTTAGATTAAATTTTTAGATTCCTTTTTCTTCATATTATCAAGCATATAATTAATGATATATACATACCTTTACTGTTTTGATTTGTTTCGAATTGTTCTGATCTTACATTACAAACTCTTCCATTAATAACACTACTAATTGTACATAAGTTATTATTATTATACTTTTTGATGGATTTACTGGATATCTCTTGCATCTTGCTGTTACAATCAGTAACATTTAAATTTTCTTCATCCAAATAATTTTCATTATCAGTACTGATTTTCATTGATTCCATACTTGTACCTATTTATGTAAAAAAGGCAAAACAAAACTTTATGCATAATACATAATACAATATAAATATATATGTATGTGTTACCTGATTCATTAAACTGTAGTTTTCTTTTACATCCTAATTTATTGTATTTCTGTGCACTTAATTTTTTATTACTATGATGCTTTTTATTATTTATTGATATAATTTTCTTTTGTGTATGATTGCAGTACATATTTGAGGATATGCTAGATGTTTTATCATTACTTTTACTTGAAAATGATTTAACACTAATATCATGTTTTAATTGCTGCTTTTGTATTGTAAGTTCTCCTGGTTGAATTATTCTATGATTGTATGATACATCATCTAAAAATTCAACATTTTTACATTCTTCATTTATCTTTTTCATTAGTTTTTTCGAACGACTTCTTGTTAATCGAAAAGTCCCATCCTCGGTATTATCTTGTCGCATATTTTCCTTTAATATCCATACATTATTAGAAGACTTTTTAGATGTATTAATACATGGTGATGAATGTTCTAACTTTACAGTTTTCTTTTCAGAGAAATACAATTGGTAAAGTTGAACTAAATTTCTATCTAAAGCAATGTTATGCAATACAACCTTACACGTATGAAGATTGTTCAATGTTTTTAACTTATTATTTTTTGCTTGCATGTTTCTCTCGTTTTTTGTTTTTGCCATTGTTTGATTAGTTAGTTATACATACGTTGGTTGCTAATGCTTAACAAAAACCAGTTTTCAAATTTCTTCTCTGTCGACAGTAATAAAATCCTTTATGCATCAACTTGATAGTGTATATTTTCATCAGTCTAGATTTTCGAAATACGGCATTACGCATTTTTCTTCACACTTTAGCCGAGCTGCATGGAAGTATTGCAAAGTCAACCTAATATAGAGATAAATCGTTAAGTTCATAACAGATAAAGAGGCACGATAACATTATACATGGATATCATCTAAAAAACTACACAGTAATTTAGTAGGAAAGGAGTACACTAAAACGATTTTATATTACAAAAAGCAAGTGGCTATTGAACTGTTTCTTTCATTCGTTGTTATAAGCTTCCTTCGGTAAGACGATGTCTCTATCACATAGTTTTTCGTACAGCTTATGTACACCGATATGATTTTACTATTATTACTCTTAAATCCGTTACCTGCATCCACAAACGTACGCAAATGTCCATCATACGTATTTCTTATTCGTCTCCTAAAAGCTAATAAAGGGAACAATCCGTCGCCAGTTATCAATAAATTCCTCCAGATCACCGCGGAAATATTCAAGTACTCATTTCGAGAATCGCAAGTATTTATATCGATATCCAGCGACATCAGCGCTTTCAATTGAAGGCCGCAGCTCAAACTTTTAAGCGAAGAGCACAGACTCTTGCATAACGCATAACACATGAGGCATAAGAAATTGAACCAACCAGAGTTCTCTATTACATGGAAGGGAAAGAAACGGAGAACTTTGATTGGTACATATTC